TTTATTTTAATAATTATAGACATTAAATTAAATCATTAAATTGAATTTTAGTACACACATTTTACAAAACGCACCTTCTATTTTTTTAGAATTTACTAACCAGGAGAAACGTGCGATCCAAGATAATTGAAATTTGAATTTTCTTTTTGAAATTACTGGAAAGTTGTAGTACGTAGGAGGCTGCCATGGTTTTTTCAATAAATCATATTTCAACTTGTTGTCAGATATTCTTGTATTAATATATAAACCAATATCATTTAATTCAGTTAAATCAGTATTACTATCAATTTTGCTATTATTAATAGTATTAGATGAACAAGGATTATCATCATGTTTTTCAGGCTCAGTCACTGCTACTTTTTTATTAAAAAAATGTAATAATGAAGGTTGTGATGTCATATTTAATAATTAATATTTTGTTACACACGCGACCTACCGAAACAACCGACGTCCAAAAACTAACTAAATTTTGTTTGTCCGGTTCTCCGGTTCTTTAWAATAATTAACAACCAAATAATAAGAAATAATAATATCAAGAATTTCGTTTTTAGATTATCGTCGTTCGTTGATCACAGACTTCTATACCAACTATATATATAGAGAGATTATAGACCGTCGACGTCTCGCAGCGGTCCGTTACGAAGCGTCGTTATCTTGTAGTATTTCACAGAAATCCTGACAATATATAATAATAATATGATATAATATTATATATAATATATAATATTATAACAATCAAAATCAAGGCCAATACCAACCATGCATTTCGGGAGGGGGGTTGAACCAAAAAGAGGGTTGAAGGAGTTATTTTTCATAAAAATGAAATATAAAAAAAAAAAAAATGTCATGAAATTTTAGAACCCTAATTACTATAAAGGCTGACAGACAGCTTTCGCTCTAAATCATTTTTCCTGTACAATGATTTTGTATCATTGAATCGACATTTATCTCATTCGTTACAGACACCTAAGTATACAGCAGAGTGTTACACACTTACTTGATTTTTTTTTACTTTAAAGTACAGGTTTTTAGATGTTAATTTGTAGTGATTAATTATTTCATTTTGAACTCGGATATTTTAATGGATTATGGCGATTCCATTCATCTGACACTAAAAACATATAAAATTATATCATCATATACGGTGGATTTAAATTTATAATAAATTTAATAATATCTGATTTTATTTGTTACATCATATAAAATTATGACCAAAAATGTAACAAGTATTTGTCCTTAAAAGACAAAAGAGATACTAATAATTTGACTTAAACATAAGAAAGTGCAGTTCAACATTTCTAAAAAAGCTTTAGGTATATACTTCATATAAGATCACAGAAAAAAAAAATTAAATATATGTTTTTAAAATAGAAATATTTAATTATGGAGTAACAGAAATATTAATAATTATAGTATGGTGTACAATGACATGTTAACATACTTTTTTAAAATTAAATGTCAAATTTTATATTTTTTTGATGTTATTGAAATATTGACTACCTACTCTTTAAAATTTTACTGAAGTTGTATAATAACAAACTAGCTGTAGGTACTTTCTTTGACTAATATGTATAATTCATTTTAATTAATTTAATTTTTTATTTGAGCGACTAAAATATAAATTTGAGATTTTATTTATAGATTATTGTCGTTATTTTTAAACATTATTAGCACACCATCATGAATAATGTAGGTTGAGGCTACTCTAGATTTAAATAAAAATGATTTTTTTATTATTTTTCATAAAAATGAAATATTTTATTAAAGTTTCATGAAATATTTCAAAAAAATCAATTTCATGACATTTTAGAACCTTAATAATTATAACACATCTGAATAATTAATAAAATCAATTATTTATATCTAACTTACTAAGATAATTTTAAGAATAAATAAATTTATTGTGAGGGCTATTTGAACGTAAATCATAATATTTTATGCATCTTAAAAAATAATGTATATTATCTGCATAAAGTATTGTTTGTTTTGATAATTTATTTGATACCTATATTATTATTTAAAATCGACAAAGATTTTGTATTCGGTTTTAGTAAAACTGCAGGATAAATAATGGGCAGCATGATCAAATATAATAATGAACAAGCGGTACAACATGAAATGATTTATTTTATATTATATTTTATTTTTTCATCTACAACTAAAAGGATACAAGTCATCTTATTCTATTTTACAATATCTATTTTTACAAAACTACAACTGTACATATTGCCTAACATTACAATAGTCTAAATAAAGAAAAAAATACATCTCCGAGTCCGGATTAACAATTTTGGATTAAAATACGTTATTATCTATACAGAGGAGTTGTTGATTACAACATTAATATAATAACAAAAATATGTTGTTTTATTACGTTATATATCATAACACAATAATATTGTAAGTGTCAAAATTTCACTAGTTTAATAACATTTTCTGATAAAGTGTTAGGGTTCTCGGAGAAAGAAACTGCCGAGTCATGTTAGTGCTTGTTTTGACAAATGATTTCAACAGTTTTTCCATTGGGATGGGGAGAAAAAGACCGTTACAAAAACGGGAAGTCTATTAATAAATTTAATTTTAATTGGACATCAATCTTTTAATACAGAGAATGTAACAACTAAAATAACATTTTCTGAAAATCTCAGATTTATTTTAAATATATATATATATTTTGTTTATGTTTATACAGAAATAAAAAAAAAACAAAGAAATTAAAGAATACAGTAAAAATAAAAAAACCACCATCATAATATATAGATGAATAGTTATTAAAAATTATATTGCACGTTTCCATTCTCTTATTGCACTGCAGAGAAGAACACAGTTTGACGAAAATTAAGAATTTCAATAACTTATTTACATAATATATATACCTAATATAGATAGCTATATTGATCCAATGTATGTACAATTTTGATGCCCCCATAGCAGTATTTAAAATAAAGTGATTTTCACGTAAGCGTAACGTGAAAATAATTTATTATATAAGCGTCATCTGTACATTACATTTGTTAATAACATTGTGAGATTAAAATAAAATGAAAATGTGTACATAATGTCTCCGAATAATGTTGACGATTGTAATGTAGGTAACATACATTAAATAGGTGGGCAATATTTTTTGCAAGTTTAACTAAATAAACTAAAAAATTAATATTATCTATTAAAATAAATAATGTTCAACATTGATTAAGAAATTCGTTTAGGTAGGTAGTCGATATCTTGTTATACTGGAAATAAAATAACAGTTAACATTACTTCAAGTAATATTGTTAGAGATTTTTATTCGATACAAATGGCTTTGAGTGTCCTTAATTGTTTAAAAAAATAAAAATAAAAATGTTATGACTTCAATAATAAATTAAAATAATTTTTATACATACCTAGTCAAAATATTTTTGTTGTAAAATTAAAGTTTTCGGTGTGGCTAAATATCTTAATATAAATATATTTATACCTTAAACATTTAAATAAAATTATTTACGTTTTAATAATAGGTAGAAGTATAAGTAATTATAGGCCTTTGATGCTACATATTTTTTATTGTTGTGTTATATTATAATAATTATTTATTTTTCAAATAAAATATATTATTTTTAATTAAGATAATATCAGTGCTTTAGTGTGTTCGTTGGTCTGCCAAAAACATATCTTGGTAAAAAACTTAAGAAATGTTAGAAATGCTTGAGAAAAATGTAATTTAAGTAGCGTATAAATTAATTTCACGGAAATTAATTTCAATAATAATGATTTGTATTTATTTTATTTCCTTAATACGCTATTTGCCGTAAGCTATTATGAAATGTATTTCAATAAACATCGCATCATTTGGTATTTTATATCTTGAAATACTAAGTAATTAAAATTTATTGTAGGTAATATGTATACTATGTAGTACCTATGTTTATGCGTGTGGATGTTTTTAACTGATTGTTGCGTATTTGATTTCACGATGGTTTTCTACGTATCTTATTCGACTTGAAAAGTGCGGGTACTCACACCCGGGTCCTACACAGCTAGGTAGGAATGCGTTAAATATTGGATTTTTATAAAATAACGCTGGTAAGAAAATACCTGCGTGTACATCCAAAACTGAGACTTTGGCTATACATTTACCATAAATACGATATCAGTTATGATTCGCATGATCACACTCGTATGGATGGTCGTGTTTTTTAGGAACATGTTATTATAATAAGTGGCACTTAATATCGTACACGAGAAGCTGATTAAAATTTTTACATTAGATTTGCTAATATTATAATGATATATAAATATATATGACACTACCATGGACGTTTTGTAAGATAAAACACTCAAAATAGAAAAAAATAAAAAATTGAACTGAAACCGTCTAAAGCTGTTACAGATAGAGAGAGAGAGAGAAAAAGAAAGAAAGAGAGAGAGCTATGTGTTTGACAAGTTGGTCGTCCAAACCTATATTATATACATTATATACACAACTATGGTTTTATATAGATAATGTTAATATTTATAATGACAATAATAGTAATGTAAATTATTATTATATAGAACTGAATATTTCCGGTTAATGCAACTAAAATGAGCACGTGTCTTAGGAAGGGATTCAAGTGGTGACGGATGGGCGGAGCGTGATCCGGTCCATCAGTGTTGGGCCGCGAACTTCATGCGCTTTTGCTTTTGCCTCTGATTGCAGAACCACACTCTGACCACGTTCTTTTTCAGGTCGAGCTTTTCCGCTATGGCAGCGATCTTCTCGCCCGAAGGCCGCGGCTGCACGGCAAAGTACGCTTCCAACGACCGTTTCTCGGGCGCCGCGATCGACGTGCGCTTCCGTTTCTTCTCGCCGGCCGGAAGCACGCTTGGCGCGTCCGGATCGCGGCGCTTGTTCTTGGCCTGCGCCTCGGCCTCTTCCAGCCACGCCTGCAGGATGGGCTTGAGGGCGATCATGTTGTTGTGTGACAGCGTCAGCGACTCGAACCGGCATATGGTGCTCTGGGACAGCGCGCCGACGCCCGGCAGCTTAAGGTTGGCCAGCGCCTTGCCAACGTCCGCTTGCGTCACGCCCAGCTTGATCCGCCGTTGCTTAAACCGTTCGGCGAACGCCTCCAGTTCGCGTGGATCCGTATCGGTGTCGGGATGCTGGAGTCCGGCACCACCGCCGGCACCGATCATACCGGCAGCGGCGGCAGCTGCAGCCGCCGCCGCTGCCGCGTGATGATGATGGTGGTGATGGTGGTGATGCGGGTGGCCGTTCGGACCAGCACCCGAGTGCGAATGGTGGTGATGGTGGCCGCTCATCATGCCCGCACCGTAGACGCCGGGGTGGAGCGGACCGTGTCCGGACCCGTCCGACATCGGTGTCAACGTGGTCATGGTCGACGACGATATGGGCTCCAGGAGGTCGAGGCCTTCCATACCTGGGTGCATCTGAAAACAAACCACAAAACGAATGTTGGTAAGAATTACAATATGTATTGGTACGATGCACTTTCAGGGTCATTCCAATGTTTTAATAAGGTCAATGTGTGCATATGTAGGTGTGGGAAAAATGATCAAACATAGTTGATCTATCAACTGTTTACGAGCGGTGAATATTTCGTATTTTATTAATATACCTATATTATACACGTCCTCGTTTAATGGAGGTATTTATTTTTCCTATGGTTGTATTTTTTTGATTATGAATTTTATAACTGAACAAGTTTTAACGAAAAGTATATTCATCCGCACCAAAAAATCAGGTACAAATTTCTGATAAGTATATGAAATGTAAATCACCATAAAAGCGATTGTTGGAGACAGATTTCTAAAAAATCTTGCAATGTATAATTTTTAGAGTAAAAAAAAAAATACTTCCATTAAACGTGGTACGATTACATAGTATACGAATATTATAATACAAGAGAACATCCTTTTTTGCCTTCGTGTACAACGTACAAGATGAATTAACCACAATCAGCATATTATATTTAGCCATAATAATGAGAGAAAGTCTAGAAATACAAGTGAGAGGACAGTGTAGGCTTAATTCGGGTCGTTGCAAGGAAAAACTAAAAATGCATTGACTGCAAAAGAACAGGAAGATCACTTGAAACCATGACCATCAGTAATCGTGGTTTTGAATAGTCTACAAGTATACTTTCCATGATTCGTAATTCCTCACAACCAAATGAGGTGAAGAAGAGATCGACGACGTGAGGCTGACTGTGTAGATAATCTGTAGAGTACACATTTTGTGGTCCAAATAAATTAAGATCGAGAAAAAGCCGTACTATACAGCAGTTCGTATCCGTAAAGTGTATGGTAACACATACTACAACTAAAGTGTTTAACAATCAAGATGATGTGTGGTCGTCATTTAAAATATACCGACGAACGACCCTGCGCCCAGTAAAGCGGTGGATAAAAAAACCTGATCTACAATCAACGCTATTTTCTGTATTACGCCTACGTGTAAGTCATCATGAAGCATTAAAAATGCCACGCGCTAAGCGCATCATGCATAGCCGGTAATGGTACTATAGCTGCTGTTTAGGTTTTTAAACGGATACCGTATAAGTACACTGCGATCCACGGTCAGCATCATCATTATCACCACCATAATAATCTTATTATTATTCATAATTATGCAGGTACGTATATTACCGCGATAAAAGCATAATGGTAATTATATTTATGCTGTTCGTCTGCAGAAGTGTATTAGGTATATATATATACAGCGCTCATGGCGCTCGTAAAATCTGACGATAATGTATGCGGTGTTAAATTTATCGCGAACATTCGTGGTGTGTGTTGTTCGTGTTGTGCGTGAAACTAATTTTAATCAAGATCGAAACCCTCCGCGGTGGCTCAACGAGATGGGGGAGAGATTATCGTTTCGGCAACGACGGCGCCCCGCGATCGCTTTATGACGATTTTGAACGCGTTGCTATGTGTGGGCAATATTGTAACACTGCAGCGTGGGTACTCTTCTGCAGTGTTTATACAATAATACATATCATGTGTACGGACTCGGCGTACTCATGTATTGGAACCTATACGGAATGCACGGCACAAAAAATAAAAATAAAAACAACAAATACGTGATGAGATTGTCGAATAAATAAAACGAAAGGCGGCGGTATTATGTATATTATTTTATACGCACACATGCACAGGATCGGCAAGCGTGTGGGAATTTGCATTTTATACGGCGTGTATGTGTACGTATGCGTGTACGAAATAAAGAAAAAAAAAATAGCGGCGAGCGTACGTCGCGGGAATTCCACGCGTGTTGTCGGTGGTGGCGAGGGTTGTTCACCACGCGTGAATCCGACAGGGAGAAATTGTCACTGGCGAGTATATATATATATATGTGTGTGCGTGAAGGTAAACTTATATATACAGTACACATCATAGGTATACATTATATACTATACCGTTACCGTTGTGTGTATATGCTTGCATTGTATATATATATATATAATATATTATATTATATATATATAATATATATATATATATATACATATAAAGTGTTACAAATATATACGCTGCAGGATGTGGGGTCGCGTGTGTCACGCGTATATGAATATATATATATATAGATTAGAGTAGTCGTCGGGGTCGACGACGAGAGATATAGTTTGGCGGGACGGGTTACGGGGAGTACAGTGGTGAGGGGTCGAAAGGGATGAAACGGCAAACGCAATCGAATGAATAATTGATTTGGATTGTTATTATACACACACACATACACGCACATACGTTATCTTTCTCAATACCGTTGTTGAGTACATACATACACCCACACCCACACCCACACACAAACACACTCGCGCGCGCTCGCATATACACATACGTGGCCCTTGTCGTCGCCGTTTACCCCTTTCGATTGGTTACGACGACGTCGACTACGCGAGGAGTATATTATTATTATTATTATTATTATTATATACACCCAAACAGTATACTCGTTTTTGTAATGAGGTAATCGGCCGCGTACACACAAACGCGACGGTTATGCGCGCGCCACACCCTCCCCACGCGACCGGTTAGTCACAGTAATGCAGTCCCCGTGCGACGTATATTTCATCATTAACTCGGTCTCTCGTCTCCCTCTGGCGTAGTAGTAGTACCCTTCATCTCTTGTGATGGCACACGCACGCGTAAACACCTATATTATACGAGCATTGCAGCTTCTGATGCTGTAGTAAGAGGGATAAACAGATATATAGATAGATAGCAAGAGTATGAGTGTGTGTGTGAGAAAGAGAGAGAGAGAGATAGATAGAGTAAGCGAGAAAGAAGAGAAAGAGAGACGGACAGGCAGACATAGTGAGAGAGAGGTTTGCGTGAGGAGTATTCCGCTGGGAACGCGAGTCCGTGTGTTTTTTGGAGGGCGGTAGCGGAAGTATACGAGCAAAAGTTAATGGATCGACAACTTTGACGAAGTGCTTCGGAGGAAAAATATTTTCGAGCGATGAGGGACGAACCACGACGACAACGCCGTTTGCGTTATAATATTCACTGGTATATATCTGCGTCCTGCGTGAAAATGTATATTTCATTGATACCTAATCTTACGAACGTCCTATTAGATTTAAATAATATACCCATAAAAGCATAAGTATTATTATAATAAGAGCAATTACTAGTATTACCTATAGTTGTGTGTTCGTGTCAATGAATTTCCTGCACAAGGCGTTTAGGTTTTGGGTATAGTCAATTGACTTTCATGTCGGACTTCACGAGCAATAAGAAATTAATGAGTCCAGTGTTTAAGAGGTTTGATTGATGAAAAGATAAAGTTACATTTGATAAACTTCTTTCAGCATTGCTTATGAACTCTACGTCTACTGAATAGTGTAGATGATATAATTATTTCCTTGCTTACAATTTATAATAATAAGTGAAATTCAAAATACACGTAAGTTATTTAAAACAGTTAAAAGTTAAAATAATGTTGAAAAACAAAAGATTTTCAGTTGGAGAATTCTAAAACCTACTTTTGTCTTTAAATTACTTTAAGTAATGAGTTTTGGTTAAAATAATATTTTTTTTTTAAATACCTACCAAAATATCTATGTATAAAAAGGTATAGGGAGCGCATAAATAATTTATGTGCCATTAAAATCAGATGAGATATGCAATAAAATGACGTATTTAAATAGTTATAGGGTATATTAAGAGGAAAAATATAACATAAAGTGAAAAAAGCTATTCATCCTAACTATTAAAAAATATATAATGATATATTATATTACACCCGTTAAATATCAAAATAATTTATTATATGTATAGTACGTAGACTAAGTGTATAATACCTAATAAACAATTTGCAAGCTCATTTAATATTTTTATAAACATATAATATTAAAATATTAATTATCATTTAAGTTAACATAGATGTACTGTGTGCTATAGAAGAAAAATATAGTTTTACAATTAATTTCATTCATTCAGTATTCTAATTTCTAACATTTGCGATGTTTAAAATCTTGAAAGAAAAAAACGTAGGTATGTATTAGGAATGATCTATGCATTTTATACGTTATGCATCTGTGCGAGTATAAATATATATTTAATAGGTACTATATTTGGTCAAATGAAATAGTAGAGTATAAAGCTATATTAATCAATTTTATTTTTTTTATATTATTAAATTCTTAAATCTTAATGCAAGTCAGTATAAATCACATCAATTTAAAATTTAAGAATATTAATAAGCTATAGTAGTATATTAAATTAAATACGTTATACACTTATAAATTTACAGAAAAAGCCCAATAAATCATAAATGTCCTATAATATTATAATAATAAATTACTTTGCAATATGAAAAAGATGAATTTTTGGCAAGCTTATAAAATAGCAATTACCTATGTACACTTATTCATTATTATTGAAAATATTTAATACGTTTCTATATTGAAATAAGAAATTCATTTAAGAAGTCTCGGTGTCTTGTTTCATAATAAATGTTCTACTTTATGTTGTTCATGGTGAAATTGTTCTTAAGATTATTTTTAACTAGTTCATAAGTGTGCATTTACCTGATGACCTCGGTGGTTTGATTGGCTACCTGAGTGTCCACCAGACATTCCATGATGGTGGTGGTATGACGACATAACGTCGTGCTTGAGCTGAGAGAGCGGTCCAGGCGATCCAGTGGATCCAGGCCCCAATGATCCATTGCCCTGGCCTCCACCGTTGCCATTACCGGATCCCGGTGATTGATGATTGTGATGATGGTGGTGTTTTCCCATGTCCACAGCAGCAAGCACTTCAGCTCTACTGAGCAGACCGTCATTGAGACCACCAAATAAGTCACCCTGTGGAAAAAAATATTAAAAAAAATTAACTCGACGTGTTACAATGGTTATTTTTGTTCAATTTTAAGGAATTCAATTCACTTTTAATGAATAGAGAGAATAATTTGTGCAACGTTTTCTTTGACGTACAAAATGCGAAGAAGACAGTCAACAACTTGAATATTAATGAAGAATGTCTATCTTTAGTCTTAAGCGGGTACGTTTTCTCACTATGCGTGGAATAAATACTGAACTGTGTGCAATCGCTTTTTGTTAAAAGAAAATCATAGTGGACTTATGACGCCCGAGATAAGAAGTATGCCGTTTACTGAAGACGTCAACGACTATAGCGTTTACTTACTGAGTTTTTTTTTGGGGTGTGCGACAAGTGCCCTGGACTTTAGACACGAGCCATCAATTATTTATGAGGTATCTCGTTACTTTTTCATTCTTTTATATGGTCATTGAAAAAAAATGAAAAAGTATTATAAAAAATAACATGAATAACTACTATGAAAGATAGATGGATTTTAATTATCATTATGTACCTATACAAAAGTGTATAAAATAAATATGTCAAAAAGATAATACCTATATAGGTAAATGATATGAATCCGTTCAGGGTAAAAAGACAAGCATCTACTGGACACTCTTTCGTTAAATTCACTCAAACATAAGACAATAATGATATATTATTATGGATTTTTAAGCAATAATGAATAACCACATTTGAAAAATTATTTTGATCAAAGTGGCTTATTATAATATGTCCATGAGATTATATCTAATATCTAAAAATTCAAGTTTGAATGAGCATAGGTATTGAATAGATTTTTCAAAATGCTGATCGACTGATTTTGCAATTTGTGAAAAGTAGTATTTCATTTTGTTTAGAAAAATTACATAAAAAATAAAAATAACCTAATGTAGTTTTGTAAAATACCTTGTAGTAAACATTTATTTTCTGAAAAGTAACTGTTATACATAAATTATTATGATATTAAATGTTTTTAATAAACAGAATACAAAATTAAGTACGATTAATGTTACATTATTTGTAGTTCCTACAAGACGAGTAAATATACAACAGGATATATGACACAATTATATGGAATTAAAGTACTTAAGAGGACGCTACACCCGCATGTGTTGTCTCCGTCTTACACGCGTACTACACTGCAAATTTTTATTCGCTAGATTTAATATTGTGCTGTTAGTTTTGATATTAGAGTGAATTGACCCATTATCAAACTTTTTGGTAGGAACATTATCTGTATTCTCATGTCGGTTTTTTACGATATTTTAATTTTTAAATGAGTTATGTGAATTTTCAAATATTCACACTTAACATGCTCATGTAAAACGCGTGTAAGACGGAGACGACGCATGCGGGTGTAGCGTCCTCTTAATGTTTGTAAATTGTTAAAAGAATTTTATTGGACTAAAATAGGTAAATGCAATATAATCCTAAGGGCTAAGGCAACAGGTATATAGTACTGTTACAGGAAAAACTATTATAAACTATTATTTAGAATATGTGCTATTCTCATCTTATATAAATTCTAGATAATCAACATAATATATTTAATTGTAGGTAAAAAAATGAAAATAATAATTTTAAATATCTACCTATAGGTATTTAAAAAAGTATTTGGCTTATTAGAACTATAAATATCTATATAGTGCGATAAAAAAAAAACAATTGTGTGTTAATGATAATTCAGATATAAAAGCTGTTGTTGTTTAATTTAATTTTTATATTTACTATGAATTTAATTCAATGAAAATTTCGGAAACACGTTAGTTTAGATTTCATTTCATGTGTATTAATTTTTACCAAAACAATTATGTCAGAAAATATTGTAATACAAGAGAGCATAATACGACAGATTATTTTTACAGTTTTAGGTGAGGATTAAGTATAAATATTATTGCATTAAGAATATAATTTTATGTGTTGTTCACTACTAAATCCATATTATTCCCTTTAGATTGGCCAATGTAATTATAAATATAATTATACCTCCTCTTTGAGGATTACGCCTGTAGAGAGTAATTATATTCCTTGTTTAATAGAAAGTAAAACCTCCATCATTTCCAAAATGAATTATAATAATGATTAAATATTTACAATATTCTAAAAACTTATTTTAAAAAACTACATCATTTCCCACGCCCATCCAAGACATTTATCTTAGTATAATTTGGTAAATACAAAATATTCTTTAAAATGTTGTTTACTCTGGTATTTTACTAAAAATGGGAATGTTGTTTATTTTTTTGTCGATTATATTAAAAGTTTTAGTTGAGATATTTGAAATCAACTTTATTGAGTGTTGAAAATATTATGTAGATATATTGTATATAGGTACTTTTCTTACTATATTATACTGTGTTATGCAGAATAACATAATAAATTAATACAATATAATCAATTTAATATAATATAACTTTTATTTAATAGCTGTAAGTGGTTATAAACTTTTGTTTTGATGAAATAGGTACTTATCGTGCTATATATTATTCTAGGTAGCGAGTGTTCAAAGGTTATAAAAATCGGGAATTATAAGGTTTTTTGATTGTATATGTTAAAGTGTCCGGGTGTTCTTTAACGGTCGGCATGTGCTTGGAGTGGACAAGACTTAACTATGACGTGATAACGGAAAACGATTGGGGTACATCGGAAAATATGTCGAAAACTCTCATATACGGAGGGGCAATCATTAGTGCTGGACCAGCGGCACTTATTGCTTCGATGCAGACAAAACTCAGAGAGGTGCTAATCATTGGAATCTTGTTCACCCTCTGCGGGTCAATTATCCTCGTGTATTTGACTGACGCATTGTCGACACTAATTATCGGTCGAATCCTACATGGCATGGGTGCTGGAGTTGTGTGGGTCATCGTACCCAATTACGCAGCAGAAATCACTGATCTGAAGTATAGAGGTCAGAACGTTAATAATTATAATAATAACATATGTTTTATTGAATCTACATTTTATGTTATCGCGCGTTACGTTTTAAAACGCAAATTTTCCATCATGACGTTTATAATTGACTATTGTACCTATAGCACAAAGGGCCACGCGAAAAAAACATTTTGTAATAAATGTCTTCACGACTCCCCCTACACTACACTTGCGTAAATTATATCAATTAGTATATTTAAAGTTGTAATAGATTAAATATAATACTTAAAATGGCAACATTTGTCCTCAATGGTGTCGTTTTCAAGAGGTCATTGTAATACTATAATTGTTTGTAATCTTGTAATTAAAATTAAAAACTTCACACTGATAAGAACCGTTCCCAGTCATGTTCGTGCATCTCCTATTACATTGCACCTTTTATACTGTATACTTAAATAAGTGGATCTATGGCCTAAGATCAGAATAATCGGTGGTTTGATATAAAATTATTTACTAACGTTATTTTTAACAATGTTTATAATTTAATTTAGACGTGTTAATTGGATTGCATCATGTATTATTGTTAAGCGGTATGATGTTGTCAAACTTTGCCGATGACTATTGTACGTGTTCATATGCGAATATTGGAATTATTGGTATGGCAGTTTTAAACTTGATAGTATTATGCGTTATTGAAGACCCACCTTGTTTTCAATTGATATTTTATGAAAACTTACGAAAGAGTGAATCAGATTGTAAATGTATTGATGTATCAAGAAATAGTTGCCATAAGGTAAACAACTGAAATAGTATATTATGATCTATGGATCTGTGGATTATTGTTACGATAGTAATTGTGTAGTTATAAATTTTTATTTGGCGTTTCAGTTTTTAAGAAACCGTGACATCAACAAAGTAATAGATCTGTCTTCGATTTTTGCTAAAAAACAATATTATCAACCTCTGTTGATTAACATCTGTTTAATAAGTATTCAACAATTTAGTGGTAACATTTCATTGTTGGATAAATTACAATGTGCGTACGGAGAACGACTACCGTTAAGTCAAATGATACCAACAATAACTGGTTTCCAAGTATTGGCATATTGCTACCGTTCTTTACCACTTATACATTATAGTTCAATAAAATGCATAACTTTAGTATATTTTGTGGGTAGGTAGATATTGACGAAGGTTTACTATCAAACGTCAAGCATATTATAGTTATTTCCCTATTGGTTGGTAGAAACTTTCAGACATTTTATTTATTGCTCAATTGCCGGCTGGAGACTTTGCCAATCGCCGGCACCACCCTAACTAATAGAACAGCAGACTATAGAGTCTCTGGGCCTTTCAAAGACATCTTAATCCTGATTATAGGAGTTCATACAAGAAGTTTTACGGAGTTTCAATAGGAGCTCCCTTGGCGCTTCTCTGTGTTATTAGGACACTTATATCGATTGCGGCATAGCTGTCAGTTAACTCGACCTTTTTTTTAGGGAGGGGGGACATTATGTTCACATAAACGGGAAAAATATATTTTTAGTTTATTGTTTATTATAATAATATAAAAAAAGTGTACAAATTATCATTCATTATATATTACATATTCTGTTCTAACCTATAATGAAAATATTGTATCAATTAATACAAGTCAAGAAGTATTTAAAATATTATCTTTTTCTAACGCAATAACAGTTTAATTCTTTAATTATATTTATTGCATTTTATATTTTGTTCTAACTCTTTAGCTCATTTCATCAATTTGCTGTTTACTAATTCTAAGTATTTTGGGAAAGAAAAATATACTAATCATCTCAGGATTTGGAATGACAATCACTATATTTTTGATGATTGCCACGTTATATTATATGAAAAGTTTAAATGAGTTATGGTTACCTAATTTGATCGTTATGTACATAATTTTTTATTCAATTGGATATGGTCCAATTCCGTGGATTTTAATGACACAAATCTGCCCAAGAAAAGTAAGCTTTCAATTTCAAATTTAATTTTTTTGTATATCTGTATATATATATATATGTAATACTACGCATAGACTATTTTTCATATATTTAATTTAAACAATATACCTAAAATACTTTAAAACAATTACTAATTTCATAATTCATAATTAATTACTATTATCATATAGGTATTTATTAAATTAATTTGATATACTCGTATGATCAAAATAAATAAATTTATTAATATGAAACAACATCACAATGATTTTTAATCAAGTTTTATTTACCTATTAATTTTTAGTCGAAATTATGGACATCTGGAGTCGCTGTAAGTCTATACGCCTTTTTGAATTTAATTATCAATCAACCGTTTATCAACAATCTAAGGTATATGATATACATGTTTAGCGGAGTTGACATTTTTCTATTAATTTTCACTATTGCAAGTGTTATTGGTACAGTTTTTGCATGTATCTTTATACCAAAAATAAAAGATCGTATTCCGTCATAAAATATGTGTGTTTCGTCATTTAAGATTACAGATAAAAATAAACGAATTTTTCTACTTTTTGTTTTATTTTACCTTAGTAGTGTTTAATTTAGAAGGTTTAAAAAGCTATAAAAAGCTTTTAAAAAGGTCTTGACATGGCAAAAAACCTCTTTACATTGTGATAAAGTTTGTGGATTTTGTACAACCATAATGTAAAAACAGTAAAAATGCCTCCGAAAAATATAAAATATAAAATGCAAGAAAAAGCACACTTCACAAATATGTATAGATCCATTAACTTTCTGGATTCTACAGTTTTATAGTATATAACATTGAATAAATCTAATAGTTATTTATGTTAATATGATGTTGCTTATTACAATAAGTACAACAATAAATTAATCTAAAAAGTCTATGATAAATACCGATTGATAAAAATCACATTTTCTGATTTTCATTAATATTATATTATTATTAAATTAATAAACGACAATAAAAATATAATACTAAGAAAGTGATAATTCAGAGATTGTGTAATTAAAAATACAATAAATAATATTTTTTATTAAATTCACAATTTATAAATGGATTTATAAAAAAAGTTACGGTCGACTAAATCACATAATTGTGTAGTGAAAAGCCTTTGTTCTGCTCAGTATAATATAAAAACCTTAGAATAGGTACCTTTGTAAGTAAATATTTAATAATATTTATTAGATTCTGTGAAATAACCTTGCTATTTTCTATCCTTAGTAAAAGCTAATTTAGTATAATTATTAGAAAATTATGAATTCAGTAAAGGTTTTAAAAAGTTTTTAAAGGTTTACTCTACTCCATAATATCTTCAAATTACAATATTGTTTTGAATTCTGAACACCCAAAATTACATTATATATATTTAAAAAAAGAATTCTTTAATATTATCATATTGGTAATTTTAAAATGATCATATTTCGTAATAAATCTAAATTTCTTAATAACGGAAATATCAACATAAAATCTAGAGTTATTTTCACCATTTTCTAAAAATGTATTTTTCAATAATAAAAACCAAAAATATAATAGTATACTGTTAATAATATCTAATTTTTTTAAAATTATATGAGTACATGTACCTTATATAACAGTACATATAAAAAAGCGGGTAAGTCGTAGATGTCGCTCTGCTGTACAGTAGGTTACAAGTGGGTTACTGTAATGGATGGAATTAAATTTGAATCNATTAAAAATTTTCAAATCTTAGATTTAAAAAGTCGCTCAAATATTTTTTAAATTTTACCATGTCTAGGTAAGGCCAATATAAGTAAACAACCCAAATTTCAAGTTTTTAATAACCGAATTACAACAAAAAAATACAAAATTAAAATATCTATAAATAGCTAAAAAGTGGCTAAAATTGTCCAAACTTTAAACCGTGAAGAACAAAATCCAAAATATAACAAAAAAGATCTCTTGTCATTTTTCATTTGAAGCAATATTTCTGGTAGTAAACGTCATCCGTAATTATTTAATATATTATAAAATCATGAAATCATACTTTTTCTCCTTTAACCGCTTTTTTTTTCGAGTATACCGTTTCGAAAATCGAAAAATGACCTTTCTTAAGTACCAGATCAAGAACATTACCTTTCAGAAAAGATGCTACACTTGATACTTTTGAGCAAGTTTAGAGGGAGAAAAAGTGTTAACAGAATAAAAGAGAAAAAGAAAAAGAAATAAACATCATTGAAAAGCCAATACATTCCTTTCTCCGCTAAGTCTAAAATTGTTTGAAAAAAATCATAATTTTTGTTACGATAGGTTTTAAAGAAAAATATTACTATTGACTCAAAGTTGGAACATAATAAATTTACTTAAAAAATAAATAGATTCAAATACACTAGCCGAAACGATAAATATTTTGGATTAACCCTTGTTTTTGCCCGCTGGGATGTCAGGTGTTTATTAATATTCGTGTCCGCCGGTAATATCATGAGATTGTTCCCTTTCAAACTGTGCGCATAATGTGAAAATTATATAGCAATAAATCGTAACTTATATAGGAGGTAAACCGCAACGAACTTCTGGATACCATTAGAACGATATAATCTAACTATAAATTATTATATTATTGAAACATGCATACACAATATATTATCAAGTGATTCTGATTCTGATCTAACTGGTACACAGTGTTATTATTTTTCGTAAAGATAAATGTTTGAATAAATAAATTATGCATTGTTTTGATTTTAATACCAACACTTAAGGTCTAACATTGATGGAAATGGTTTTATTTCAATTACTTTTTAGGATACTTTAAAATATAGGTTTAATATATAATATATGTATATGTATAATAAACCTTCAATCGGCATCGATCGGATTCAATGTGTGGCAAAGTTGTGTTGTACAAGGTAAAAGCGTGGCGACAAGTGCTATTCATGAAATATTTATGATTTACTGGGTCGTATACTTTTTACCTCTAGGATTGGTCTTAAGCGTGTTATATAAACAACCATACATACATCCTCAATCGTAATCACAGTTTTGCATAGATAATAGATATACAATATATATTAATTAGTCTCCACTTGTGGTGTAAATATTATTATTTAAATATTTTGTCAGAGAATCATAGGTATACACATCGTATATTTTAAAATATATACTACACTATTATTGATGTACTTAATAGATTATTTCTTAAAGCATACTGTTTAATAGTGTATTAATTTTTTTGTTTTTATTTKTGATGAATTGATGAATGTTGCTAATAATAATAATAAAAAAAAATAATAACAATATAATAATCGCAATAATTATAATAATAGTTGTACCACTAATCAATAACTTAATTTTTATCGTCTACAATGAAAATATGATTATTAATAGTGGTTTATGATATTGTTATCAAACATTAAACAATATTAGATTTTTTTATGACTCGGTTATTTCTAATGCGTTTGTTGTATTTAATTATTTTAATTTAATTAGGATAGATTATTCTTATTGTAAAAGTTTGGTGTTTGTATATCATTACAGCACTAAAGTTTATAGTTTATATATTATATATTTAGGTTTCATTACTGTGCGGAATTATAAATATACCTACATCATATAGTATAATTTTAACTTTTAAATACCTTACCTAGATACCTACTTATTATAATTATTATTTATTATTCTCCACATTAATTTATGTATTCAAATGTATAAAATGTTACTACTAACTATTATTTTAGAATAATTATTTCGCTTTTTATTCTTATTTTAATATTTTTACGAATTTTTCAGTTATTATAGGTATAGAAATTTCAATTAATTATTAATTGGTTTTGTGTGTTTGTAAACATACGCGTATATGCATATGTGTTGTTGGTGCATAGTCAGTACTCAGTTGGGTTCAATACTTCAACGTGAAGAAATCCCAAGAGGAGATTTATGAATCCGTCCTTGTGTAATCGGACTAACGAATGTGAATCGTATATAGTGCTATTTAGACATTATCTCCGGTATGCTCGATATATAGAGGAGCTTTCCGAAACGTTTTCTCTCGGTATTAAGGCATTGGCGAAATTCTGCCTCATGTATCCGGCATAGTTAGTAGACCTTCAGAATAGAGGGGGTGGATACAACCGGGGACTCATTTATTATTTACTGGAGCCACGAACGGGACGGTTTTAAGGCCGCTTGTGTGTTCTCTACCCCGGCCGTCGCTCGGTCCACCGAATAAAGTCCTTTTAATTCCTGTTCCTGAAGCCACTTTGCAACGACGAAAACCAAAAAGCCTTGCATTTCGTTGATGATTTTTAGTTTATAGTCTTCATCCTCCCTCATTTTTATTCTCGGGAGTTTTGTTCTCACTCTAGGGACTTTTTTTTTAATGTGTTGGCTAAATTGTTTCGTCTTTGCAGCAAGAATGAGAGAATTTAAAAAAAAAAAAAACAAAAAAACAAAAATAAAAAAAGACACCCTCAACTGAGTGAAGAAAGAAAAAATACGTTTCTTATTAATGTTCACTTTAATACGATACTGTCTGCAACGTTTAGGACCGCTTTTAACAAAAATAAGGAAAAAACTTTTTCAACAAGTGCTAAGTCGATTATAATAAAACTCGCCTTTCTTGACAACAGAAAGAATAAAACTCATCTAACGATTCTTGACAAACTGATGTAGGTAAGTTAATAGAAATAAAACTGTAATTACAAAATACAATCTAAATTTATTGTATTGAGAAATTGATTCTTAGATTCGTTTAAAGGTACCCATATATTTCTTATTGTGTATACCTTTCAACGTCTAGCTACCTGTAAGCAGTTATATGATAGAGGCAAACGCTAAAGGCTAAACATGATATTATCTAAACAGTCTACATATTTAATATTTAGTACGTTTATCGAAGCGGTTTAATGAATAATTTCTATGAAATTAAGATAATATAGTACATAAAGCTGTTATAAAGAAAACGTACATTGTGTCGTGGAGACCAGGTGTTGCACATGAATGAGGACGCATCCTCTAGGATCCGGCTCTGAAAATACGAAAACTATGGTTAGATTTGTAGAAATACTTGGATGAGATTGATAAAAATGTATTTATAAAACCTTAAAGTCTTTTATAAATAAATGTACATATTTTTTTTTAATACTGTAATATATTTTATAGCAGGTACATAAACAAATTATTCTACATATTATTATACGGAACTTATAAACGCAACCTAACAAATGCGAAATGAGATATTTTAAATACTTATGGTCATTTATGTTTCATCGTGTTTTGTTTTAGAATTATTAATTTTTCAAGTATATTTTGTTATTATTTCAAACAATTAACTTCACAATTTATAGTGGTATAAAGACATAAAGACATTCACATTGTAGTTCATCATCATTAAATAGTTAACATCAATATAAGTACCTATACAATAGTCATTTGTATGTTAAAGTAAACCAATTTTGCAACAATTCTATACAATATCATATGCTATACAAATCACAAAAAGCTATTATGACACAGAAATCAATAACTTAATAGATATTTTCATATGGAATTGAAAAAAATTATCTATTTAATCTAGGTAAGGTAGGTACTCGAATATTGTGTATATAATTATATTATATTTTCAGGCTAATGATCAGCATAGATTTTGAAACCAATAATAATAAAAAAAAATTATGTATATTATATACTTATCGCTGCATGTCATTGAATGCCACGTATATGTAGGTAAACATTGACATAATATATCTGTATCATATTACTGTTTACTCTATTTATCGTAGAAATGATGCGTTTGTAAAAATCTTTAATATTTATTGAGGTGAGTATATAAAAATAAAAATATTTGGAAGTGCGAGTGTTCATAAATACAATCAGTGTACGCATGAATGAAGATAAAATATTTACGTTTTTAAACTCGAAACAACCACAAGTTTATTGTTATTTTTTTTATTTTATCAAGTGGTGTATTTCGATACCATCGTATCCCTATCGGTAAAATGTCACACTGGCAGAGTTTAAAAAAAATAAAACTATAGAAGTAGGTACACCATGCATAATAATATTATATTTGGACGGTATATGAAAAGAAGCCAAATACGCGGATTATGCACCGTACAACAGTATTATATATATTTAATTTTTATTATATACGTTTATAACACACACATCGCCACAGAAGTTTCACAACTATATATTTATAATATATAGGTAGAATATATATATCGTACTCGGCTAAATTGTGCATAAATCAAACGTAAAGTGACACGAAAAGGGGTTTCCGCTTTAATGGTAGTTCCTATATTATACACACACATATAACATATATATACTATGGTGGCGGTGGCTGGATTTGCGTCACGTGTCATTTTCCCACTCGGAACGTCCAAGCTTCGGTGATGTGATAATCACTCGCACGTGTGTTGCATTACGCGCGTACTCGTAACACGTACGGGGCCGGGGACGAGGGAGACTTCGTTTCAAAATTCAGTTAGTACTTGACAGACGGTCGTATACGCAAAATAATTACCACAACCCGCCGGCCGTAATATACTACATAATATTATTATACATGTATATAATACGCGCGCTGCACTGTTTTGACACAGCAGTTGCGCATTGTTGTTAGGTACTTTGCTGAGGTAAAATAAAAATGAAAAAAACTTTCGTGTCCACTTATAATATAATAATATAAACGTATATACACGGGGAGGAGGAAATGTTCAAAATTAAAATCCTAAGTAATTAATTTAACTGCGAGGATTATAGTAGATACGTATAATATGTTTGTGTGTGTAATATCAAACGCACCTGCATCAGATTTTTTAGTTTTCCATCATAATATTATTATCATCAATTTCTCAATTACAAAATATATGTTCAGGCACGCGCATATTATCATAACGTTTAATTTCCATTGGACCAATTTTAGATGACTCAAAAGATTCATATATCATATGATGGTGTGAAATAAATGATAATTAGTCTTAAATATTATACATAACTTAAAGTAGTAAGATACATTGTTATTATTATTACATTTGATGTACAATAATTATATATTATATAAGTACTGTAATGATTTTAGAAATTAAAAAAAAATAAATAGATTTTGGGTTTTAAATGTCTGCATGATATTATAAAGTCTATATTTGATTCAATCTCGTAATTGAAATGCATATTTATATTTATATCGTACACTATAATTTTATGTTTTCTGAAATAAGCGTTAGAAAATATGTACTGCTATTACACACCTATGGYACTTTTATTATAATTATCAAGTTTTAAATTTATGATACTCAAAACTAAAAAGTCATGACAAATAAATCTTTTATCATTCCATTGAGAATGCAATAATTTTCGTTTAACTGAATTCAAATTTATTAAATTTTAAATAAAAACTAGATAATTGTTGGATATTTTAATGTCTATGCTTAAGTAATAAATTGTATGCAAGTACATTTTTAATATTTATAATATATTATTTACAAACATTTGAAAACATTTCATTAAATATATTCTATAATTTAGGGGCGTATACTGTATACTGATTATTATCACAAACATAAAATATAATTCAACGTAAAAAATGTAAAAAAAAGTTTGAATGATTATTTTAACTTAAAATTTAAAAACTCTAAATAGAAATAAGTTAAATTTAAATATTTTTATACATACTATTACCATAAACTTTGTGTAATAAACACTGAACTACAGAGCTTGTCAATAATATGACGAGGGTTATTTCAGTATCGTGGCAGCAGGTTACAGGTATAGAAAACCGATCAATAATAAATTAATGACCGCAACCTATGTATCAGTCAACACATACAGTTAAAATAATAGATGCCTTTATCGCCGGGACATAGAGGTTTAAAAAAAAGATAATACTGATAACATAGAGTCGTAGATACAATATATTTATCAATATAATATAAATTGTTATTTTATCACATCCGAATAATGACAACTATTCTGACTTAAATATTTTTTTTTCTGGGTATTAAATGTTTGTTTTGTTATTTTCCACTAGGCAGTAAAATCATAACTGTGTTTGTGTATTATATAGGTAAATAATAATACTATTCTTATGTTTGTAGAGCAGTAACAGCCTAACCTAACAAACTAATAAAAATATATTTTAAGAATAGTAAATTATATAATAAAATTCACGTTGACCTACTAAATATATTAAACAATGTTTTTAAGCAAACATTTGAAATCATAATAATAACCATAGTAATAATTATTGATCGGGTATTTCAAAATGTCTTATATACTCTGCAATATGACTAAATATAATTATCACATACATTGTGAAAAACATATTAATTTTTTCTACGTGCGAATACTATAATATGTATATTAATATATTATTATTATTATTATTATTATTATACTATGGACAGCAGTGAAAATATAGTGTGGTTAAATCCTATAAATGTGTTTCCAAAACAATATTAACACGACCATGTGTGGTTCGTAGTACAAAATAAAGTCCTAATTAAATCGTTTATGGTTTTTGTAGAACCACGATATTCGTTATATGAAACTAAGTAAAAGGTGGTAGAATTTTTTATTCATTCGTGGGCCGTAAAATGGTGTTTGTGGGGTTTATCACACCAGCTGCAGCAGGCTGCTGCTGCAGGAGGAATACGCGCGGATTTGGTACGGTCAAATAATTGCGCATAATTGGACGCTATAATAGCATTGCTCTCACAGACGTTTGTTAGGTAGTTAAATGGAGATTTATTCCGCGGACGGGTAGACGGTATTTATGTATGGCGGGTGGTTCGGGGTATATATATATGTGTGTATATAATATGGCAAAGCTTTTGCAAGGGGAGTCGGATGACGCGGATTCCATCGTAGCAGTACAGCCGAAAGAGAAAGATACGACGGGGGCGATTAATAAATTATTTAAGCGCCACCGCCAACGACATCAATCACTCTTTAGCGGCGAAGTGAGGTAGCGCCGTGGTTTCTGGGAGAGGAAACACCAGCGGTAATTTGACGTTATTGGCCTTACCGGGTCCGTTTATTTCTTACGACTTTTTATTTATTATTCCGTGGCACTTTACAGTTTATATATATACTCTTGTCGCCTGTACACAAGATTATTATTTATATACACGCGCAGATATGGCTCATCTGCAGCCGCCGTCGACAGATGACATACAGCGACTGACGTGTGTCACGGTCCCGATTCATTTTTGTTGGAAAGTCTTGAGAGGAGAAAACGAAAATAAAAACAGCGATGTTATACGGGTGATAAAATTTGATTAATTTTATAGCCGTGTGGATTGCGTAATGAGACACCTGCAGGCTGCGTTAGCCGCAAGCGCACGTCAGTGACGCGGATTGGAGTAAAATCAGAATTAATGTGAAGAATGAATATTCTGTCAGTTAAACGCATTGATTATTAGTTAAACAATGTATATTTATATGTATAACCATATTTTTCTAACCTGTACCTTTTGATATATCCACGTAAAAATCTACCTTATAGTTTTAAGTCAAATGCGTATTTTTCCATTTTCATATGGAAGGTGGATGTAAAAATGTTAAAATGAATAATTTTACAAGTCTGCATAAAATTCAATGTTTAATAAATTAATGATATGATTATTGCGATTATAAAATATATTCTGCTGATTATATGCAATACCAAAATAAAATCATCCATGTAGGTAGGCGTAATCGCGTATATACATATATGTATATATAGGATGACATTGTTCTAAATATATTAAAAGTTCGTACTATTAGCTGGTATATACTGTCAAAAATAAAAGATTCTATAATAAACTATTTGATGAACTTACTTATATAAGTATACTTTCATACTCATATGTATTACAATTTTTAATTTTTACGACATATATTGCATATTGTTTAAAAACATTTTATCATTTATATTTTAGAATTATTTTTTTCTTAAAACTGTGTGTATTTTAAGTTTAAGAATATAAATAAAGTATTATTATGGTAATATTTTAGGGGAGGAGGTTGAAAATAACCCTAACC